AGGCTAAAGTCAGCCTGTTTGCACAGATAGTATGTTTTATTTAAATCATCCCCACTTGATGCACGAGCAAGTGGTGAATGTACCTAAGACCATAACCTTACAACAAATAACCACAAGCAATCAGAGGCACTGAATTTCCAGTGTATCAGATGCTCAGAATGCTTACAAAAAGACTACAGAAGGAAATTATTGAACCAAGGGACACCATTTTCTGTCATTTCTCTTTCTCTGACCTAAGTACAACCCTAATATATAATTATATGAGACAGTTTACAATGAGTTCTGTTCATATTCCTTCACCATTGTCCAAAATTTTTCTCCCTTAAGCAAATATTTTTACACTGATCTAGGTTCTTTTGGTCTTTTTACTTGTAAGAAACAAATTATAATAGAAAACACATAAAGAAAAGAGGAAAAAAGGAAGAGTATGAAGAAATGATTGATCAGTAAAGGAAGAAAAGGAAAGAAAAATTACAAGAAATTAATATGTATTATGTATGTGCACCGACATTCCCCAAGGCATGTAAACATAATGCACAACAAATATGGACCAATAGACTGAAAGTTAAAAAGCAGTGTGTAAAATTAACTACACATATATTGAATTTAAAACTTTACCAATATCAGGATTTCAGGTCCTAATATAAGGAATTATCTAAGGCACATGTTTACTTTCTATATTTTTGATAAAACATTCCAGACAAGATAGATAGGACATTATAGCATATGCAAGTAGAGTTTTTTTGAAAAATGATGAATTTACCAAGAGATGCAGAGGGCGCAAGTGAGCTAAGGAGGGAGGTAAAAGGTGACAGAGAGAAAAAGAGTGTTGATTTTTTTTCCATGGTGCCAAGAAATAAGTCTACCTATTCAGAACACAGGAAGCTTTGTAGACCTAAGTTCCTCATGCACTACAGAAAGCCACTTTGTCATCAGAAAGGGAAGACATAATTACTTTTTATTTATTTATTTATTTATTTATTTATTTATTTATTTATTTATTTTAGTGGAACTGGGGATTGAACTCAGGCCCTTTTGCTTGCCAGGGAAGCACTTATTCTACTGAGCTATTCCCCCAGCCATCTCTGACCTTTCATGTAGAGCTTTGGCATAGTTATTAACTTAGCCCCTTATAATTACTTTTAAATTGAAATATATATGCATACAAACTATGGATTATATCATTCTGTAAGAATTATATTATAGCATTTATTCATATTATAAAGAAACATGTGATTGCTGGATGACAGTTGAAAAGACAGCAAAAGTTCACCTTGGAATTTGATGTTCCTCCATGTTCTCCAACTTGAGAGAAATCTCACAGTTTGTTATTCTATCTTTCTAGTTCCTTTACTATCCATTGAATTTCTTCAGTGAATTAATACAGTATGTGTACTGTGGCCTCTTCATATCAAATCATTATGGAATGATCTGGAAAATGGGGTGCTCATTGCTCCAGTAAAGAGCTGCGTCTTCTCCTGAATAGGCTAGGGTGCACTATTCAAGATGAGATGAATCTTCTCATCCTTCAAATATAATGAACAGCGAGCAGGAATAAATTCCATTTTACAGTTAACAGGATGCTGAAGAATTTACTCAATCCTGAGATGGGCGTCATTATCTGGTAAAAAGATCTTGTGCAATCATCTTCAGCAAAGATGACTTTAGCAATTCACCTTCAGCAAAGATGAGAAGATGCAGCAAAGATGATGTGTGTGACTACAGTACAGAAAGGCCCCACCAAAAATTCTAAAGAGGAGCTCTGTGGGCTACTGACCAGTCAATGGAGAATGTGTGCTGGCCACAATTCTAGAGCATGCCATTAAGCGTGCACAGTGCTCAGGGAAGATATAAAGTTCTCAAAATTATTTGTTGCTGGAGTCCTGGTATTTGGACAGGGATATGTGTTGTACAGAATATTACATGAAGTAATCAGAAACACAATCTTACACACTTCATGATTTTCCTGTATGAGAAACCTAATATGTACATTAAGTGTAAAAGAAAAAAATGTGTAAAAGAAAATTCATCTTAAGCAAATGAGAAGGAAACCCAGAGAAGAGGGAGGGTCACAAGCTAAAAAGGAAGGGGTTACGAAGTGTTGCATATATGCACCAAGTCCTTATGTGGGTATGGTCATCATGTAAAGCCAATGTACACAATTTGTATAGATGATGCTGATATAGAAATATATAGATAAGGATAGACATAAGCATAGATGTAGCCATAGATATAGACACAGATATAGACATGCTTCAAAGACAGGGAAGAAAGGTTAAGGGAAAGTAATAAAAAGGGTAAAAAGGAATTAAGAAATAGAATGGGGATAAAGTTCAGAGGCATAAGCACATGCCTGACAATATCAACTGTGCCTGATAAATATAACCATGATGCACTATAAATATTTATGAATAAAATAACAGCAGGTTTGTGAATCTGATTGTAAAACTATGGAAAAATTCTTAAGTCTCTTACTCTGTGCTATTATTAACTTTAGGTATTGGTTATTTTTTGCTTGTAAGACCTTGACTACTAACTTGAACAATAACTTTGTGTATGTGTGTGTGTGTGTGTGTATGTGAGTTTTAGACCAGTATCTATATAAAAGTAGAAACACATGTGTATGAATATTTGTCAGTTACAATTGGATAAATACACAGGCTTCACTGAGTTTTGCTCTCTTGCAGACACTGAAGCTTTCAGCTGTTGGGGAAGGATTGTCCAAACAACTCAAACTCTCTGTGCATGGAAATACCCAGAGAAACTTCTAATTGATTCTGAGAATTGTGATCTAGAAAGAGCTTGTTTGTTTCTTTAGTTGATTGTTATAATCATCTTGGCTGCCTGAACATGCACTATTGTGAAAATTACAGATGAACTTTTAATTTCATTCCAGGGGGCCCTGGGATCTCACAACCATGTCCCATATCTTGGTGATTGGCCACCTACTTCCCTACAAGCAGACCATTCCTTACCTATCTCCTCAGATGACTGATCAAGAAGCTGGTAGGTGCTGGGTATTTTCTTCACTTTTTGTTTTACTCTGTGTAGTACAGGTTGTGAGAGAAAGATCTGGTTCGCCATCTCTATTTAGTTATGTTTTTCATGTGTAGAAAGTAATTATTTATAGGTGGTAAAGACACAGGGAGGAAAGATGGTGCTTGAGGCGCAGGGTTGACTGTGGGAAGAGACTCAAGATCAGAGATCCTCAATTGTCTCTAACTGCTCCCCTGTGCTTTCATATATCCAGCAAAAACATATTGTGGTAGTATTTCCAATAGCAATAACCCTTCAATTACAAAAGCTCTATGCTTATGAACAGGAAAGCAGTATGTTTTTACCTACTGTGCACGAATCAGAGACTCTCATATCACTTGCATTCTTGCTTCAGTAATATGTACTATTTCTGGCAATGAGAATGCTGGACAATGTTGAGCAAGCATTTTTCTTTAAAATCATATGTTTTAAATGGCAATTTTTGTTTAATAGTAAGTTTTCTCTTACCAAGGTTGAAAAAATGAATGGAGATGATGTGTAGATCTCTGTGTAAATATTTTTATGCTAGTAATCATCTTATAATTTTATTGAGAAACAAAAATGAGACAGTTTCAAAACAAATTAGTAGGACAGTTTCAGTAATTAATACATTGCATATTGTTATTTTCTTAGTGGTCGTTCATATTACAAGATGCAAACATGATATCCTGTCCACAAACACTATTAGAACAAATCTTTCAATTCATTTAATTAAGAGAAAGTAGCTGTACATATATCCTAAATATTTTGAATATACAGATAGAAAATGGTCCTTCATTTTACAGACACCAAATTGGTCAAGCAATGGCTGTGACTCATCCACATGGCTGACACTGACAAAAGATCTACAAACTGCAGTACAGGGTTTCAGGATAAATCCTGAGGGGATTTGACTTAACTTGTCTAATACAAAAACAAAAGTTACATTTATAGTAATAATTTTGGACAAATTTTCTTTTCTCATTTATAAATGTCATTTTCATAAAAATGTTAACTTTTAGTTGAAAGATTTAAAATGTCCAGAATCCAAAGAGGTCAGCTTGATCCTGAATCATGAATGTGCTCGTATTTTCCAGGATTAAATTCTTACTGTTATTTTATGATTCTACCTTATCATTGGCAATTACCACGTTTGTGAATTCTATTGATTGTAGTGGATATATTTTGGCATCGCTCTCCAAAATGTTCAGTACTGTGTTTTACTAAATTAAAAAATAAGGTTTGTAATGAAGGTTAATTCAGTTTCTATGACTTAAGTTTCATTTATCCAGTACTATGTTAAAGAATAAAACAAATATCACATATTATTTCTCTATTAAGTGATATTGGCAAAAGTTCTGTTGGTATCATAATCTTGATATATGATTATTAATAACAAATATGTTATAAGAGTGTACATGAGCCATCAATAATTTTGAAGATATGGGAATATTTTCTTAGGAATATTTCGATGGTATAAATGACACATTCATACAGAATGGCAATTGTCACAAATGAACATTCCTATAAAGGGTGTTTCAAATATGACACTTTATATATGGATTCAATGCTCTAATTGTAATAATACAGAACAGCAAAAAACCCACAATGATCCTGAATCATGCTGCACAGGTATAAATACCATGTTCATATTTAGATGCATCATGTAAACTTCTCTCTATTAAACATGGTTTTGTCTTCAGAGGAAAAGAATTAAGCCTTAATCCATCATGCTGTAATTCTTAATGCCATTACACTTGCTAAGGCAAAACCTACAAATATCCATGTGTTTAAAATATGATAGAATGAAAGGAAGCACTTACAAACTTTTAAACCACAAAAATATATAGATGAAATAAATATTTAGGCTATATAAATGTGTTCAACTTTGAAACCACGTCATTCAAATTTTTTCTAATCAATTTATCTTTTCATAGATGTTCCTATATTCTGGAATATTTATAGAAATCCTGCACACATAAATAATGACCTCTGTGAATCTGAAATCTGCAATTCTCTTTCCTTTGCTGATTGCCATAGGAAGCCTGGGTAATTTCTCATTTTTGTGTTATTCTATCTTCCTGTACTTCAGTAACAGCAGGTCCAGGTCTACAGATTTGATTCTCAGACACTTAACTGTGGCCAACCTTTTGTTCCTTCTCTCCAGAGGAATCCCAGAGATTATGGCAGCACTTGGAATGGAAGACTTCCTTAATAATGTGGAATGCAAATTGGTTTTCTATGTGCTAATGGTGGGTAAGGGTGTGTCTTTCAGCACGACCTGCTTACTCAGTATGGTCCAGGCCATCTCCCTCAGCCCCAGGAGCTCCAAATGGGCAGCGGTGAAGGCGAGAGCCTTAAAGTACATTGGGCCTTGTACTAACCTTTTATGGTTCCTGCACATGTTGTTAAACTTCAGAGTTCCTATGCTTGTGAGTGGTAAATGGAGAAGAAGAAACATGACAAACATTATAGATTATCAGTACTGTTCAGCTCTAATTTCTAGCAAAGCCCAAAACTCCATTTTCACAGCACTTTCATTATCACATGACATTTTGTGTTTGAAACTTATGATCTGGAGCAGTGGCTCCATGGTTTTGATTCTGTATAGGCACAATCAGCGAACACAGCATATTCATAAACACCATATCTCATCAAGATCTTCGCCAGAGACCAGAGCTTCTCAAAGCATCATCTGCCTGGTTTGTGCTTTTGCATCCACCTATATCCTGTCTTCTGTAACATATGTTTGGTTTTCTGTTTATGATAAAAGTGCTTGGTGGCTGGTTAAAATTTCTTTCTTAACCAATGCTTGTTTCCCTACTGTTAGTCCCTTCATTCTCTTGACTCGCGAACAGTGTTTATGCCGACCCATGTGGAAGAGGTGAAAACACATCTCTTTCAATATGTCAATGAGTCTCCCTTTTATGTTTATATTGTTGCATGCGCTCATGCATCACAAAGCCCAAAGCAAAATTATGAGGCAGTTTTACTGCACAGGTAGGTTAAAATAATAACTGAAGAATTTATTTTATAAAAAAATTTGGGACACTGAGATAACTCAGTGGGTGAAGCACTTGCTTCGTCAAGCACAGGGACTATTGTTTGATATCTGGTACCCCCTAATGCACCAGCCCCATCTTGAGGCTCTCTGAGCCTGGGACAGAGTATGGGTGTGCTGGTGCACAGCTGTAAACCCAGCTCTGCAGAGACGGAAAACAGCAGGATCAAGACAAGTCCTCGCTGTGCAATAGACCCAGTATCAAATACCTTAAAAAAATAAAATTATGAAATAAAAACATACACAAAGGTTGCACTTTTTTAATGACAGAAACAAATTTTAAAATAAGATAATAGGAGGGCAACAATGATTAATGCATTTCCATTGTTATGTTTAAATTAGAGTAAAATTAATCAGCATTTAATTGTCTAAACAGTATTAACACAAAACTTTCTTTTCAAAGAATTAAGATAAGTTAGTACTTTAATTATCTTAGCTAATGTATGATATTTATGTATGTATACATAAATATATACGTAATATACATAATATATTTTATATATGTATAATTCTGTCTTCATTATTCAGTTACATTTTTATGAAAAAAAATCAAAATTTCATGATAAATGAGTAAGTGACTTGCAAAGTTCCTGCAATGTATCATCATCTTCAACATGCTTTGTCATTGTATTTAATTTCATTTTAAAGAGCATAAAATAGTTTCAAAAATTAGTAATTACAGAATTTAAAATTAAATATTATTGGAATTCAAAAATAGTTTACATGTTGCACATTGTTGTCTTCAAATTAGCTCAGATTACCAGATATAAGCATTCAAAATATGCCACTATTATAAATTTTAACCATGAACTGATCCTTTCAATAAACAACTAGAAATTAATATACTAATCATCTTATTATATATATATATATATATATTTTTTTTTACATAGTTTTGTCTTCAAGTTAGTTGTTCAGATTACCAGACAGAAACATCAAAATTGTAAACACATTATGAAGAAAGGAAAGGAACTGTTCAATAGGCATGAACAAATGGGATGAGGGAAATGAGAAAAGAAAGGCAGGAATAGTATATATGACATATAATTGTACCATTATTTTCCATTGTTGAGAGGAATGGAAACATTTTAAAAAGAAAACAATTGGTAGACATTCAAAAATAAATATATTTTAATAGAATTTAGTGTTAGGTTTGAAAATTTATCATCCTTATTCAGTGCCTTGCTTTCTGCCTGTCTTCTTTCCTTTTGGGTATCCTTTGCTTTCTGTGTGGAATATATTTCTGACTCAGTTTCAGTTAATCATGAATTTAATTTACATTTTTAAAAAGTAAATGATACGGGCTGGCCAAATAGTTCAGCGAATTAAAGCACCTGTAAGGAGGCCCATTATTTTACCATTTTGTAGTGAAATATATTTCACTAATATGTGTATTCCATTGCTATTCATATATTGTAGGTGCATGAATTCAGCAAAGTAATCCAATATAGTCCAATAGTCTATTATAGTAGTGAGTTAATTGCATGACTGGCAATGTCAGAAGTTGTTGGCTTGAGCCTTTTTGCAGCTCCGCATATTAATAGGGCTTTACTTTTTATACCTCATGTTTAAACTTTTCTGATGGATGGTTAATAACATGATAAAGCAAGACCTATATAACAAAATATGTAACTTTTGTATGTTCAAAGGTCAGTAAAATCCCCTCATAACTTACCCTGAAACACTATACTGCAGTTTGTAGAGCTTTTGTCAGTGTCCGTCATGTGGATGAGTCATGGCCATTGTTTGACCAATTGCTCTCTGTGGAAACCTGAGAGAATGTTTTTTCTCCAGGTGACTCCTTAGGCACAGTCTATGCCATCAATTACTTTCCTCATTTCATGTTTTTTTTTTCCAATGGAAAACTCACAGTTTTATGAAGTGTGATATCCGTGATCATTGACATATCCAGCCACTTTTTGGCATTGCAAACCTCTACTCCATGCATGACTGCTCTCTCCTCCCTCCCTAGAAATGCATATCGCATCTACATGTGTAATCATCCCACATTTGGTTTTAAAGAGCCTCTCAAACACCAGCATCTATGCCAAAATTTTCACATCATCTCTAATTGATCCTTCTTGAACTATATTCACTATTTTGGATCGCTTTTCTACAATCTGTAGTAATAGCACACTGCATCTACCATCATTACAAACTTTTATTGCACAGTGTATAATCTACATAACTGTGAGTTCATAGAGCAATTTATATTTTAATTCTCTACCTTGTTTTGGGTAATATTACATTTTATATTCATTATGATTTTGACTGTCACAGGATTTACTCTGTTAGTCCTGGATACTATGGAGTTATATATGCACAACATATATTCTTTATCTACTGCCTTTCAGTAAACACTTAGATGGCTTCTTTGTGTTCATTTTTGGGAATAATCTTGCACTTAAATTGGAATACAAGGTGTCTTAGAGATTAAAATATTTATCTCCCTAGATATACAGCAAGAGCCTCAATTGCTGCATCAAATGACAGCAATTTATTATTTTTAATTTTGGAGAAAAAAAGTGTGGATTTCCATGGCAGTCAAACTTATTTAAACATTCCCAAATAACAAGCAGGTGCTGTTTTCTGCAGTCTACTTGCTCCTCTGGGGTCCTCTGCTGTTACTACTCATTCTACAAATTATAATTTTTCCTAGAAAGCAAGAGAGCATGTGACTGGGTAGGAGAGCAACAAAAGCTTCACAAAGAGTGGATTCTTTTCTGCTGCACATCATAGAAAGGATAAGTTACTATTCTGAGTTAACTTCTATCACTTCTTTATATCCTATGAGGTGTTCATGATTTTAAAGGGTTAATTTTTTACTGATACAAAAGCAGGACACAGGGGCTGGAGAGATGGGGGGCTGGAGAGATGGCTCAGTGGTCTAAAGCACCTACTTGGAACAGGCTTGGCAAAGTACAGGGACCGCGGTTCGATCCCCCAGCACCACATGCCAGCCAGCTGCGCCCCCTGGTGGGCTGAGCTGGCCACACACACACACACACACACACACACACACACACACACACACAATATGTTAAAAAAAAAAAAGCAGGACACATGTTCCAGACAACAGTCTGACCCTCAAATCCAACCCTGATTCTAAGTCACCAACACTTGGTTCCCTGCACACATTGATGTCCTTTTAATTCTCTAATTTATCCAGCATGTCTGGTGGATATTTTCAGAGCTCCATGTCTTTGATCATGGAAATTTCTCTAAGAAGATTTCAGGTTCCTCAGGCTACTTTTTCCTCAAATGAAGACTGCTGTTCACAAATCTGCACTGCCTCCATAAGGAAAAGAACATCCCATATTTTTCTCAGAAATATGTAAATTGTATGTACCTGTATGATGTTTCATGTTACATTCACTAAATCCATGAAACCATATGCACAATCAAAAGAGTTGCATCACGCAAAATTAGCAGCAAATTTACATTTTTATAAAATTAGTGCATATATGTGAAAATGTGTAGCAATCAGTAACTTGAGGCTTATTATCCATCAGGGAAAAATCTTGTCAAATTGAATGTTAAGAATATAAAAAATGGGGCTGGGAGATGACTAAGTAGAATAAACTCTTGCCTTTTGAGGGCCAGGTCCTGAGTTCAATCATCATTTCCAAAACAAAACAAATAAAAGCAAAAAGTATATAAAATCTAACAGTAATAAAAATGAAAGAATGCTATAACAATTTTATATTTAATTTACTTCTATCAGTATTGTGTCAATAAATATTTTATGTATTCAAGGTTCTATTCAAATACTGTCAAGTATTGGTTTTTACAATGATGAATTATTCATTGATTTGAATAAAATAATAGAAAATTTGGGAGTATATTTATCAAAAGTTAAGTGCACTTCTAACTGATTTATTTTTTATATGTTAACAAAATTTACACTAATTTTATGCTATTTTTTGTTTCATTTTTTTCCAGATTTGCACATTTACATCAAGTAGTTCATAACCCAGAAGTTAAAACTTATTTTAAAGCAGAATTATACAATGGAAAGTGATATCACACTTGTAAACTGTGAAGTCTGTTACATTTATCTATTTCATTTTTTCCAGTGACAGTATAATTCTGATAAGGGGTAACGCTTTTAGTGCTACTTGCCAAGAAGGGTCCAGGTCTTGGGTTTGAATGACAGTTCCAGTAAAATAAATTGCATGGCTGAAAATCAATTTTAAAAAGTCATGCTCTGTAAGTGTTGGGTAGCAATCACACTGCCAGTAGGCTGAGAACAAAATAAAAATTTTAAGGCCATCCCAGGTAGTGTACTAGGACCATATCTAAAAAGAAACAAAAGCAAAACAAAATAATTGAAAACGCATAAACATAACATTTACTATTATTTCCTAAATAGAATATGAAATAGTAAAAAGAAACAGAAAGAGATTTGAGCCCTAACCCAGTGCTGACCTGTGAATGAGACCACTCAGGGCCCTCTGGATCCTCCTTCAAGCCAGAGGCCAGGCCCCATGTATGAGAGGAACTTGATCCATTAGAAAGGCCCTGTGTAGAGCCATGGGACAGAATTCCCTGCATAGTGTATAAAGGCAAGAGCCACCTAGGTGATCCAGGAGCAGAACATCTTGCCAGAGAGTCACAGCATGTGTATATTCAAGGACTGCAGCAGGAAAAAGTGGATACAGCATCCAGAACCAAGCCAAACCCCTGAATGACTTTGAACTTGGTAGATCCAGATCTGATGGTAAGGTAATAACTGTACCAAATCTCTACACCAAAGGTCAGAAGACAGTGCTATACAAAATGACAAAGAGAAGGAGAGAAATGCATTCTCAGGCCATGAGCCCATCT